TTTGGTTAATTTAGAGGACATATGTGGTGTTGTCTTGGAGTTGTTAAAGTATTTCAGTAGTTCTACATGTACCACCTTGCTTATGAGAATTCATAGAAGAGCTACCATGCGTAATTTTGGTTGTCCGACAATCTTAATATTCATCTAGTTGTCGAGGTAATGTATCGATTGTGTGTGGTTGAATGTGGGGATCATTGGGTCCAATTCTACTGTTCTTAAGGGTAATCTACAATCATAATTACTAAATCTAGCATTTCGATAGTGTTGTTGGAGGGTTGGTATGCTTGGACATATCCCTCGATGAGTATCTGATGTCTAAAGATCAAAATTTTATAACTTAAGCTCATGAAAATTTATGTTGTGAAAAGGAGATGTTGATAAGAACTATGATTGTTTGGGTATTATGAGTGTATGTTAGTGGGTTCAAATTCACTTCTAATGTAGCGAGTATTAATTTAGGATTTTATCATGGTTATTGGGAATAGCTTTATTGTTAGTTAAGTGTGCATACAGCAAGAAATTATCACTCGAATATTGTGATGACTTCATTGAGGAATTGTATAAAAGGATGTGTAGGTATTCAATTGGTTGGTTTGGGGATGAAGATTATATCATAAAGTGAGACTCAGATTGGTTAAACAAGACCTTCTGTATGAGGAAGAACCGGTTGAAATTCTTGATCGCAATATCCGGAAGCTAAGGACATGCGAGTCAAGTATCCCCAGTTGTTCAGCGATTCAAGTACTACTCTACCCTGACTTTAGCCAGTCTTTCCTAGTTGATCCCTCGGGAACGAGTGATGTGTAAATTGGTATCTATTGTAACGTCTTAATTCCGTCATTAGGAAAAAGCCAATGGGGAAAGAATTGGGGCCAGAAAACCTTTTCGTAGTAACTTCAGATTTCCTAGCCTAGTCTAGATTTGGACGAAATCGGAGTCAGTGAGGTCTAGGGAAATATGGTAACAAATGGGAGGTCCAATTGTGAATTTGATCTTATGAGTAGATAGCTAAGACGTTAAGGAACCCGTACGACTTTACGAAATTGAATTCGGGCGAGTGAAACTCCCGAAAATGATCTTAGCGCGAGCAGGTATTTTCTGAGTGTCGTGGGATGAAGGTGTGTTCTGAAAAGGGGGTTTTGAAATTCTTAAAACTGCTCACTATTTCTGTACAAGCCGATGAGGCGGGATTTCCCGCCAAGGCGGGGCCGCCATAGCGGGACAGACGTGACTTAAAGTCGAAAATAAACCCCAAAAATGTTTTATTCTGCACTTTTCGACTTTGAGAGCTAAGGGATGATCCTAGGTGTTTTTTTGAACGTTTTCCACCATTCTTGAGGCTAAAGGTAAGGTTTTCACTCCCCAATTCCACTTTTCGATCCGTAGAACTTAGTTTCTTGGGTAATTATTGTTGGGGAAAGGCTTTGATCTGAGAATTATGGTGGAAAAACCCTAATTTGGGATATTGGGATCATGGGTTTGGTCTTGGATTATTGGGTTTGTTATAATCCGTATAATTAGACATTTGATTGTTGATCCTTGCGTATATTAATTGTTGTAGACCTAGAACAAGACGGAAAAAATTCGGAAAGGGAAGATTCAAGTACCTTAGGGGATTCAAACTTGGATTCAAGGTAGGTGACGGTTGTGATTTCATGTTATGTGATGTATGTTTGTTCTTGCATTATTATAATACATGTATGTATGTGAATGTTGCATTATTGATCTCACTAATTGTAAATGAGGATAGATGAATGATGAATGTCATGAATCATGACTTGATTGTATGATTTGAGAATATACTTGTGATTGTGATTGTGATTGTGGCTTGTTGAATGGATCGGGTGTTGCATTCTGACACACAAACTTGGATCGGTTGCCACATTCCGGCATAAATATGGGATCGGTTGCCACGTTCCAACATAAATATTGGATCAGGTACCGCGTACCGGTACACTAATAGTTTGGGTGTGGGTTCCATGAGAGGACCATTGACTTGTGATTGATATTTTCGTATCTACCTGCTATTGATAAGGTGGAATTGAACATGTTTTCTGATAAGATATCTGAAATTGTATATGTTCGGTATATGCCTGTTTATGATGTTGTAATTACTTGCTTATGTTGCACTTATCGGGATAGTCATGTGATCCTACCAGTACACTGTGGTTGTGTACTGATACTGCACTTACTTGTTCTTTGTTGAGTATAGGGCATCTTCAGGCGGCTATTGATAGACCTCAGCTAGGTGACTTTTGAGCGTGACCGGATTCAAGGATGAGCCAGTTCTTTCAAGCTGCCATGGATCTATCTTGTTTATGTCCACTCTTTTCGGACTCAGACTATTTGTTTAAGGTGTTTGTTAGTTTCGGGGTTGTACCCCTTGTTCTTAAACTTGTCGTTAGTAGAGTTTTAGTACAATGACTTTCAGGTTCTAGGGGTATTTCCGTATTAATTATATAGTTATTTAAACATGTTTCTGTAGCTTTAAATGTGTAGTACTGTGGTTAAGTTGATTAGTTGGGATGTAGTTTTGGTTCTCCCACCGGAGGGTTAGTGTTGGTATCACTCATGACGGTCTGGTTCGTGACACCTGCCCGACAGGGCTTCACTAAAACGGGCACAACTTTTTACTCCAAACTTGAAATGAGGCAGACTTGGTTGCGTTGGAAAGAGGACTCAAAGACCTCTAATTTAATAGGTCATGGGCTTCCTGATTCAATTTGTGCTAAGAGATATGGTCATTTGAAGTTGAGTCAAAACTTAAAAAGTGGTGGGTGACATGTACGGACCCCTAAACGGACCGTCTAGGATTTCGTGAAGGGTCCATGGTCCATTTTGGGTTCATGGACTTGCCTATTACCTCTCTTTAGTCCTTTTTGAAGTTTGAGGTGTTACACGAACGACTCAAATTTTAAGAGTAGAGTTGTGAGGTGTTATAGAATGATTTGTGTCTTAATTTAGAAATTTTCGGGGTGTTACCATGCCAATGCAACAACCAACTAATACTACTCAAACCACTTGAAGATTTGGTTACGACTTAGGTCCAACATGCTCATTCTGAATGCTATTGACATAAAAAATTCATAGTTTCACCCACTACTGAATTAACTGTAGAGTTCCAGCAATCACCATGCAACTTTGGAAGAAAATGCTACAATCGTGTAAACATATTTAGTGATAATTAGGATACAAGTGACTTAGTACTATTGAAATGTAGCCTGCATTTCTTGATGGCATAAATCTGAGTCACAAATGATGATTCAAGATCAATTAGAAACTTACAGATTGCCTGAAGCTTCGACGCCAAGATCTTGGTGGCACTAATAACAAACATTGGAAAAGACGTATGGATGCTACTCCAGAGTTATATGAATCTCAAACTAATCATACACGTGCAAAACACACGTGAGGTGAATCTAGTATTATTAAAAGTGGGAAACTCCAAAATACAATGTTGGATTACCATTTTATTTCAATATTAAACAAAATATTTAATTAATTAAATATTAAATAATATCATATATATTATACTAAATTCTAAAAGTGAGAAGGTGTTAAGTCAAAAGTTGAATCAACTTTTAAATTCAATTAAATGAGAAAGACATTAAGAAAGATGATAATGAATAGATCATTGTTTCAAAACTCTTCATTTCTAAAAATTAAATTTTAAAACTCTTAGCTTTTCATTTTCTCATATTGAATTAAGGAAAAAGTTGGTTTTGTAAACTATAAATTAAGACATGAACAATATGAGATAAATCAATTGTTGATTTCAAAGTTTCTTGTTTTATTTGATTTCTTCTTCATCTATTGTATTATCACATTTAATTGTATTTATGTTTTTTATTTTTATCCTCTCTCAAATTTTATGGCATTATAATCGCATGAAAAAATATAACTATGATTATATGTGAGAAGTTTGATGATTCATTATATTTGGTTGGTAAGAATTTCTTCTTTCTTTACACCAAATTTTTTATGTTGCATAATATCTATTTCTAAGCTTTTAAAATTTGTAGATTATGTGAAAGATATGATGAATACACTATTGTTTGGGATAAACGTGTGAGACTGACTATATATGTAGACTTGAATAGAACAGATTATTGCATTATCACAGGCCAAGACTCAAGTTTTTCTGCTACATAGGCGGAGCTACCAGCGTTGTTCTCGAAGTACCAAAAGAGTGAAACTTGTGAAAACCACTTATAATAAGTAATCGAGATATAGGTGCTACTTATTACTTTTGTAAAGGTCGAAGTCAACAAGCTAGACAGAAGAAAGTAAGATAAAAAGATCTTGTATTCCTAATTCACATTTTCCATCAAATGAAGCATAAGAGAACTGAAAGAGATCACGAGAAAGACGAACCTGAACTTCACTCCAGCTTCCTGTGATGCGTCTTTGATTGTTTCATCGTATTCCCAACCTCCCTGCCATAATAAGAGAGATACTTACATGTTTAAACAAATATTTATGCTAATATAACAATCTGAGAGAGCATCAAAATTATTTAACAAAGTCATAATCTGAAACTCGGTACTCAGAAAAGCAGAATACTGGCTGCTTGCATAGCAGCAAATGAATATAGATTGAACCTCCACATTTTACTTGGTACAAATATGAAAATGGCACCGGAAAGAAGTATATAGCTAAAGTTAGAGCATGATCAATAATGTTTGATGTAGAAGTAGAAGCTTGTGACAAAAGAAGTTGTATCTGAAATCTTTTTCCAAATGGCAGAGTAATTAACTTCATTTAACTCACAACGGTTAATCATGGCTCAGTACAAGTTGATATGCATCAGCCATTTTATCAATAGGGAAACGAAGAAAATAAAACAAAAAGGAAAAACAAACGAATGAATTCAGAAGAAAAAAATATTGGTTTTGAAGAAGACTTTGTAGCTCATAGAAGGAGTGAATTTTAGAATATAATTAATGATAAGTCCAAGAATAGAAGAGAACCAAGACTTTTAGTTTAAAAAAAAAAAGAAAAAGAAGAGAACCAAGCTGAGTTAAGCTTAGAGGCAAATGCTCAAAAGTATTTCCCTTGAGATACAACTCTTTCAAAGAGGGAGGATAAGGATCCAATATCTTCCAGAAGTCCTCCATCTATTAAATTGCAGTAACTGAGATCCAGATATTCCAATGAACGTAACCCTTCATTCACCTGAGGGAACACAAAGAACACTCCATCTTCTGATTCTTCCTTTTCAAAAGTCAATATTTTTAAGTTTGTTCAACCGGACGATGGAAGACGGAGGTCATGAGATTAGAGTATCTTTGGCATCAAGCTCTTCCAAATTTTCTAAATCACCTATCTCTTCTGGCAAGCTTTCATGTTTTGCGCAGTTCCACACATATAGGTTCACCAAACCTTTCAACTTACAAATGCTACTTGGAAGAGATACAATGTTATTCATGCCACTCAAATCTAGCTCTATAGGATGCATGAGTTTGGAGATGAATGACCGATAATGATGACAGGTCCCTTATCCCAGAGAATGACAATGTAATCTCTATAGGATGCATGAGTTTAGATTCAGCGATTCTGCATTAACATATGGAAACCTCTTAAGGCTTATACACTCATTCAAATTTAATTAACTGGATGAGTTTTCCGCAATACTCCAGGGAATGGTGAACCTCTTCAAGACTCGTACATTCTCTTAGATCCAAATTTGGCATCCCCTGAAATCAGGTGTTATCTTCAGGCTTTTGGAGCCCCATAGACCTAGACTCCGTAGACACGGCAGTTGCTGCTATTCAAAACACGGAAAGAATGATGAAAAATGAGTAAAGTAGTAAACACACATTTTTAGATTATGACTCAACAAGGAATATTAGATATTGTTTATTTTACTTTATATGGAAATTATATGATCAGAAACTATATAAAACTTATGTTTTTTTTGTTATAAATAAAAGGTAAAATATTTAGCATGTTCTATTCGGTGCACATTTGAATATTGCAATTGTACTCTTAAACCTTGACTATCTTTTCTCATTTATTCCTGGTTGTTGATGTGGGAAAGAGTGTGAATAATCTTTTTAAATAATTTTTTATTTCTAATTATAGGAGGCATCAATATTACCATAACGTTAGTGTGATCAGATTAATGCATTGTGATAAGAGTATATATATGGTAGACTAGCCTGTGACTAATTCTGTCATACAAACACGAGACAACATATTACCAAGGAAAATAATTAGGGGTGACAAAAGAGTTTCAAAATTAAGAAAAAGTGACACAAGTCTTAATCATTGAGTAGATGCGATAATCTTATGATTAGTGTTAATGAAACTAATTTAAAACCCTCAAGTTTTATTATTTATACAAAGATCCTATCTTCCCCATCCTTTTGTCGACATCATCCCCTCCCCTTTGTAAAGATATGACATCTGGGCCTAACTCAACCCCAAAAGTTAATTCATGAGTGGAGGTTTGCCCAAGTCGATATATGTAGACCACCAGTCCATTTCTCAATCAATGTGAGACTTTTACCCACTCCAACACCCTCCCCCCCTCCCACTTCACGCCTAGGTCCGACTGGAGTGTGGACTGAGAGCCAAAACAGAGATGGACTTGACTCTGATACTATGTAAAGATATGACACTGAGCCTAACTCAACCCTAAAAGCTAGCTCATCAAGGGAGGTTTTCCCAACCCCATATAAGGGGATCACTCGTTCATTCCTCAACAAATGTGGGACTTTTACCCACTCTTAACACCCTTCTCCCGTCGTTGTCGCTGCCATCACCATCACTTTCTCCTCTTACTCCTCCACCACCTCTGCCACCACCACTTCTTCCTTTTCTTCCTCCATCACCACTACTTCCTACACCACCACCACCACAACTTCCTCCTCCTCCTCCGCCACCATCACCATCACTTTCTCCTCTTCTTCCTCCTCCATCACCACAGTTATACCACCCCCTTCTCCTCCATCATCTCCGCCACAACAACCACCACCTCCTTCTTCGTTGTCACCACCTACATCAACACCTCCTTTTCCGCCACAATCACGCTTTCTGACATAAAATTAAACAATTGTTGAAGTTATCACAACAACTATGCTAAAGTTATTGTAAGAATTTCGACAATTGCTGCAACAACTCAATCAATTGTTGAAGTTGTTGGGAAAATTCAAATAACTGTTGAAGTTGTTGCAGCAACTACGATAGTTGATGTAACAATCTTCATAGCAACTATCATAGTTGATGCAACAATTATCCTAATTGTTGCAGCAACTTAAGCAGTTGTTACAAAAACTATCATAGTTGCTTGATCTTTCCACTTATGAATAGTTTTTCTAAAGCTATTTAATATAATTTATCCTTGACAAATTTCGTAAGTTACATGGATTCGAGGGACGAACTTGGTAGGACATAGTAAAATAATGGTACTACCTTATTGTCAACAAGAGTTAGGTCTTTAAAAATTTTAGAGAAAAGACTCAAATATGATATTTAACTTTGAGAAAAGTTTCATTTATATCATCCGTTAAAAGTTTGAATCTATGTCATTTTCATTTGAGAAAATGCTCATCCATGTCATTATTATTTGTTAACTCAAATGGAATAGATGAGTCAAGCTTTTAATTGATGCTTAGATGAGCCTTTTCTCAAAGTTTGATGACATATTTGAGTCTTTTCCCTTTTAAAAAATAATTTAATTAATGGCGTGATCGAATCATAATTGACCAGATGTAAAAATGATTTTGCCAAAAGCGAAACTGTTTTTAGTTAACAAATAATGAGATGAATGAACTTTTTCTCAAATGGAAATGACATAGATGAGTCAAACTTTTAATGGATAATCTAAATGAGTCTCTTCTCAAACTTTGATGGCATATTTGAGCCTTTTCCCTAAACTTTATATAGTATAAGAGGTCAAACGTGCAACACACATTTCCAAAACTAGTTTAATAAAACTTGCTAAGTTTAGAAGAGTTTTTAGTTGGGGCGTTAAATGGGTGGGTTGGGCTGAAATTAAAGCGATTAAAATGTGTTGAATTAGAAATCAAATTGAGTCATGACCCGCCCAAATTTGCTTTGGACTAAAATGAGTTAGGCTCAAAAAGGCTAAAAATCGAATTGTATTATGACCCTCCCAATTTGATCCGCTTAATTTCATGAATTTTAACATATTGCTATTTACCTTTTATAACCATAACTGAATTCCAATTCAAGAAAATAAAAAATAAAACAAGTTCTTGATTTTGAAGTGGAAAGTCAATAAACATTATATCAACCAAATAAACATATTAGAATCATAATTTTAGGAGAAGACGATATACAAAGTATCTCAAATAGAACATTACCTTTGTTTCATTCCATAAATGATGCAACGAATTCCACCGGAGATTAAGATGAACAAGCCTTCTGGGTTTAAATTTTTTTGGTAATAACTTCCAAAGATATTCATGCCAGATAAACCAACACAAGTCGTTGTACATGTACTCAATGGAGCCGTCATGGCAATTGGAGTTAGACGAGGAGGAGGAGGTTATTCCACAAAATTCGTTCCCATCACATATGCATAATATCCTAAGCTTTTTCATAATTTTCATTGCCTCTTTGCTAAATCATAGTTTTTAAATATAACTACACCATATTGCTTCCACTGACAGGTCCCTTGCTAAAAACCACAAATTGTAACTTCACATGTCCTGCAAAATTTGCTTTCTTAATCCTCTCATGCAATTTTTGAGAAAACACTTTTTTGAAAAATAAGGCATTTGACAAATCAATAAAATTGTATTGTTCTGGCCCTTCTTGTATTTTTCCCATTCGAGAATTTTTATCAACAAAAGGTTCCTCAGAGTAAATAATTGGGTAATTTAAGCTTAAAAAATTACTATTTGAGTTATTTGTTCAATCTAATCCAAAGAATATAATGAAAGTTAGATTTAACATATTAAGCGGCAACTAGACTAATTCATGACTTGATAACGTAAGATAAATGAATTTTGATATACGAAAACTCAAAATTGAATATTATATTGCAGTATTCAGCCTATTCACAGTATTGCTGACCACATCTTCAAAATCTTCAATGTTCCATAGTCTGCTAGGTTTTCCGGAATCTTTTTGCATTTTCGCCACATATCTACCCATGTCTTGAACTAAGTCATGCATTTGAATTGTATTATATTTAGAGATGAACACAAGAGATTTTTCAATTAGACCATGCAATCTGATGCGAGCGCCTAAATCATAGCTCTCAAGAATTTTTATGGTCTTATATTTCCCCCTTCCTCTAAATTGAAGCATGCGATATCTAGAAATATGGTTCTCTTTATCCGGCAACCCTTCAAAACTTATTTTGAGGGTTTTAACAATGTATGGACTAGATTCTCTCTTTATCATATCTACAACATCTCTCCACATAGTTGCATCTTCATTATGTAACAAAATACCCCACAATCTCAATGCTAACGGAAGGCCTTTAGCTTGACTTACTACCTCCAATGCCAGCTTCTTAATATGCTCATCTGGAGCTTTGTCCTTGAAAGCATATTGACTGAACAACCGAATAGCATCACGAAGTGTAGTCACTTCATACACTACATTATTCTTCCCTATAATTTGTTTGTTTCTAGTTGTTGCAATAATTCTACTGCCATTGTCAAACCAACAAAGATCCCCTGCTAAATACTCCCAATGATCATGATGATTAATGTCATCAAGCACAACTAAAACCTCATAAAACGAAGTCTATGAGCTATCATAGCCTTGCTGTCCTTCTTATTATTCACATTTTTTGTCTTTCCTTAACAGCTCAGAGAGAAGGGTATTTTGCAGAGAATGGATTTCATTTGTGTTAGTTTCTTTTACATCTGCAAGGAAACTTGCACCCTGAAATTGAGGTGAGAGTCTATCAAAAATAGCTCTTGCTATAGTCGTTTTACCGACTCCTCCCATTCCCCAGATCCCCACCATCAGAACATCATTAGTTTCCATCTCTAGAAGGGATGTTACTTTCTCCAAAAGAGTATCTATTCCCACAATATCGTGCAAATAAGATGAAGAAGTCTTGCATAATTTTGAAGAAACATCGTCAACAAGTTCCCGAATACATTCTGATTCAATCCTACAAAAAGTAAGAACAAGAAGTACTTCACATTGTAAGTGCATAATCAAGATAAAAGGAACAGAACGTACGCATAAATCAAACTCCTCAATAAATTATCTGTGTAACAATGTCATTGAGTAACTAAATTGATATAAAATATAAAATCAACATAAGTGACTTTAGCAAGTAATTTAGTATACTTGCAATGACCATAAAAATTATTCACTCGATTGAAATAAGGCATAATACATTAATATACCCTTTAACTTAACTTCAGCTAGCATCTGTGCCCTTCAATTTTGGGTGTGCACAAGTAGGATTTGTTCTATAGTAGAATCATAAATTCTGGCACATTTTTAGATACAGATTTGCTCTATATAGTAGAGTATTAGCTAGTATGTGTAGCTAGTCTTCATGATAAATAAATTTATGATTCAATCAATGTGTTTTCAACTCACCTGTCACGGATATCATATCCTTTTAGATTTCAGACAACAGTTAGGGCAGTTCTCCATCCTTGCACCTTCTGCATCATTTCAGCATCATCCTTATACCTCAATTCGTGTTTGGCAATGCTTCTTCAAAGCTCTCACTTTGGTATCGAACATGTGATCGATCCACGTCATAGAAGACCGGAATGACCATTTGTCCATTTTCTTCCTCCTTGCATTCCATAATCTTCATTAGTTCATTCAAGCACCCGAGAGGGGAGAGTGGCCGAGTGGTCAAAAGCGGCAGACTGTAAATCTGTTGAAGTTTTTCTACGTAGGTTCGAATCCTGTCTCCCACTTGTTTGTTGTAGACTTCAAAGAAGAGAAAAGAGGCATTCGTCAGCGTAGGAAGGCCAACCGAGCGAAGCTCTAGCTTTTTTTTAGTGATGTAGCATAATTCTTTGAGAAAACGATTATGGCAACTTGAGACTCTTCTATAGCTTTCAAGAGTTCTTTTGAGATGGAATCGCCATTCTCTAGCCTTTTATCATCTTGAAAGGTGAATATTCCCCTTTTTTCAAACCTTCATACAAGTGACCCGTAAATGTTCTCCGTGTGTCAACACCTCTAAAACTTAGAAATACATTGTACTTCCATCGAGGATAGTATTTTGGATCACTCGCGTAAGAAGAAGAAGATGCCATGGATGTTGATCTGAAAAAAGTAAACACAAATTGTGTAGTGATAACAATATGAAAGAAAATAGAAAGAAAAAGAGTCCACCTGTCATTAGAATTATTGGGGAAAAAAAAGAAGAAAAAGTAAATCACATGGCCATGTTCTTTAAGCACACAACTTGACTTCAAAAACTCCGTGGTCCTACTTGAATATTTTTTATTATGTTTTGGTAAAGTATAAATTGTAAAATATATTAATTCAACAACTATTTCTTATTAAAGAAAAGATCAAGTTGTTGGGATGGTAAGCATTCTTCACTTTCAATCACGGGCGGAATCATGATTTTTATTAAGGAGCTTCAATTATATAGAGAAGTAAATACACAAAGAAATCAAGAGGATTCAACATCTATTGTATATGCATAAAAAATATACAATATTTTTTGCTAAAAGTGCTTCAGATGAACCTTCTTGCCCCTGCCTAGCTCCGCCCCTACCTAGCTCCGCCCCTGCTTCAAATCATAAGGCTATGAGTTCAAGTCAACAAGAGAGTAAAAAAAGAGTGGAAATAAAATAATCAGTTTGTTTAGTATTTTCATCCAAATTTAATAGAAGGAAGTAGGAAATTCCTTCAAAGACACCAAAACTCCACTGTGGTAAATAAACGATGGACAGTTAATCAGTTGGCCCTACCTAATTTATGGATGTCTGGAAAAGAGGAATCTAACAAAAGAAGAAATTGGGTTTTACCTTGTAATTCTATTCATTAATTCAAACGTTACGGTTGTGTAATTAGGTAATTTTTCTTACTATTTTTTATGGCAATCTTCCATCTCAATGAATAGATGAAGCCAAGTGGTGTTGACAAAGAAATTAGCCTTCTTTTTTGCTTTTGCACCTTTATCTGCTTGTACTTTTAGTGGTCCATTGTGTGCATATTACATTAGAGTTTCCAAGATATTTCCTACTTACTTCTGTTACGCTATATTTTATATTGCTTTTGACTTTTTATTTATCTTCAATGCAATGAAGTTACAAAGAAATTAAATTGTTATAATATTACCTTACAATGTTTGTCATAAAGTCCATGAAATGCCGATAAAATTGGGTTGGGTAAAATATGAAATTGGGTAAATAACCCACTTTTATGATCTCCTTAAGCCGAATTGGTTCCAGAATGCTGGCACAAAATTCATGACAAACTGGTATGATTTCATGTTATATTAAACTTAGCTATCATGTTGGATAACTCAAAAAAAATATTATGACCTGATATTCCAATAATTAGCAAATTTACATTAGAAAATTAATTTTTTTGTGTGACGAGGGATATATCAGTTTTAAATGACTAAGTTAAGGGGTATATCAGACCTTTTCCCAAACCTCTTTGACCTTCTGAATGATATGATAAATGAACGTAACCTTTTAGCTTTGCCAGAAAGATGAATAATTAAAAAAACAAGAGAAAATCCAATATCATAATTCAATATTTCTGATAGCAGAAGATATACATGTTCCTCTCTTTTGACAACTCTGATTCTAATTCTCTATTATCATACAACTCCAACTCCAACTCCAATTCTAACTCTGACTCCGACTCCGACTCCAGTGGAAGAAATAGTACCCTTTGCTCCGTTAGCTTTGTGATGTGAGGCGACTTACTAATAGTTCCAATGCTCATCTGCAATTGAATTTTGAACAGGCTACTCATTAGCAAATGTTAAGATGTGATTTTATTTTATAATGAAACGTGGTATTCTACTGTAAGAAATGTGTCATGTCACCTTTACTAATATACTAGAAGGGAGGCCCGTGCATCGCACGAGGCCCAACAATTTTTTTTAATGTGAAATCTTAAATTTTATTTAATGTATAACTTTTTATCATAAAGGGACAAAATGAAGGTGGTAGTAGTAATTGACAAGAAAAAAAGTTATACATAAAGGCTACTCAAATAGATATATCATGTAAAGCATACAAAAAATTCACATCGATAAAGAACTCTCACAACAGGTCTATCGCATAATAATCGCAATACATGAAAAATAATTTTAATTTTAGTACATGAGAAACAATTTTTAAAAGATCGACAGAACCTGTAAATATCATATTATGACCCTTTCAATAAATTGCTTTAGTTACTGCACTACCAAGAAACCTGTGATTTCTATTAAGAATTTTATCAAATCCGAAGCTATCCGGACTCCATTATGATAAAATCAAACCACAATGAAATTAAATACATATAGTATATACGTATCATTAGTAGCCTAAGTATTTTTTTTTTCATCTAGTAATTGTAAGGAGTGATGCAGCTTTGACTTTACATGTGTTCAAACTTTTGTATTGCTCTTTGGTTTCCTTAGTGTCCACATTGCTTCATGTCTTATTAGAACGGGAGCTCTCTGTCCACTTTTAGACCTAGAGCTACCTATCAACAAATTAAAGGTGGAGTATAAGAACTTGTGACATTTACAAAGTGTTGTAAACCTTGTGATTAAGGGTACTATAAAAGGAAAGAAATGTGTTTTGTAATAGTAAGTGTCAACAATGAGCTCTTCAGTTCGCGTAAACCTATTGAAAGTTATGTTGGAAGAGTTTCTTTGATTTTTGTAAATAGGAGTGAGCTCATAGAAATTTATAAATCAATTCAATCATAGAACAATATTAAGTAACTAATTTACAAGATCCAATGAGAAGCGTAGGCTATATAGTGAACATAATTCTTTTGTAGAAAGAACATAATTGTGTTACTTACCTTTCCAAATTTTTTCCGTATTCTAATCAAACACTTCTTCTAAATGAACAGTAATCAAATGACCATATTTGAGATACACCCAGTGAAATTCTTGAATACTCCTACCAAACAACTCCTTAGTACTGGAATGGAGAAATGATAACACGAGAATAAAAGAGCAAAACTTTGTAAGTAGAAAGTCACTCAAGTATATAAAAGAAGGAAACTACTCAAAATTTGATAACCACAAATTAAAATTCAAACTTCAGTTTTTTGGGCACCTAGATTTTGATTCAACTATGTAAAATATATTATACTGATCAATATTGTTCTAGTTCAGTTGAAAGCAATATTCAAATTGAATAAATTTCATAGTATTTTGACTTAGAAATTAGCCATAATAAGCTTGTATGGATCATGTATTTTCTTGTTGCATGCTAAAATCACTAAATGATATAAGACCTCTGACTTTCTTAAATTAGTGCATTGTTACAAATTGGAGTAATCCTCTCTTAGCAATTTAGTTTAGGCCACCAGTTTTGAGACTAAAAAAGATATGAGAAATCTTATGTTCCTCTGGCCACAAGTTTCGATATGACCTAGGATTGGGGTAATCCTCACTTAGCAATTTAGTTCAGGCCACAAGTTTTGAGACTAAAAAAGACACGAGAAAATATCTTATGTTTTGCAATTGACTTGGCATTTCAAAATCATGTTAGGCAAAGCTTTGTAGTTTAAAGCAATACTATTTTTATTTTTTATTTTTTGACAATAATGACTTTATCAATGAGCTTCAAAATGCTACAACAGAAAGGACAATTTGATCTTTATTAGCTTTTCTTAGTATAGTTTATTAATCACCTCAAGGATAATAAAGCTCAATAATTATTACAAACTGAATTTTTTATATCAAGCTTGTAACTGAAGCACTAAACATTAATTCTACTCTGAATTGAACATGCTCGCACTGAAGCAACATACAAGTATATCAGTTACATTGAACTTGTGTTCATAATCTTCAGCATCCATAAAGTCTTCCCATTCAGGCTAAGATTCTTGCGTACCCAAGTTCTTTCGCGAATCTCTTTCTCAGACAGAGAAAACATGTGCTCTTCATAGGCAGGGGCGGCTGGTAAGGTATAAAAAAAAGTCCTTGGCCTTAGGCTCCCAATAAATTGGGGGGCCCATTTTTTAGTTAATTTGATAGGATTAAACTAAAAACAAAAATAGAACTAAGACAACAAATGCAAACGCCATTAATGAAGTGATAGATATGACAATTACTTTTTCCCTTTCCAATAAAAAGTTGTCTATTTTTTTTTAATGTACAAGTTATATTTATTTTTTTACCTTATTTTTTTTCTAATTTTATTTTTATATATTTTGTCCTCCTCTCTTCTTCTCTTCTATTTCTTTTCTCTTTCTCTTTTCTAATCTTATATCTCTCTTATTCAAAGCTTAAGAATTTACTTATTCTATTGATAGTTTATATTTTAAATTTGGAGAAAAATATATATTGCAACAGCCCAATTCATTTTCGGAAATCAAGTCTTCATAGTTCTTGAATCCGGTAATATCATTTTAATTTCTAATATTATTTTTGTTTTGTGTCTTATGTTTATTATATTTTTTATTTGATATTGTAATAGTGTTTAAAATATTTGTTAGATTTTAATATGTCAACTAGAAAATTTGAATCCGGTCATTCAAAACTTAAAAGAAAAGAAAAGTCGATAACTTGATAAAATCTCAAAAAGGTGCTCTTGATAAATTTTAGAAGTGGTTTGGCTATATTATCGAATGAAAAAGGATTATTAGAAGAGATTGACTACACAAAAATTATTAACAACTTTGCATCTCAAAAAGCTAGAAAAATAGATTTAAAATAAAAACATTTTAAATTTTAATTATTTTTTTTAATGCCTCTAGTTTGATTTTGGCCTTAGGCCACCAACGGGTTTGAGCCGCCCCTGTTCATAGGCAGTCATAGTTGTTGCTCCCACACCATGACGTTATTTCTAATGTTATTAGAGTATTTGACATTAACTGGTTGCGGCATCATATTTATCTTAGAATATGCACAGCGGAAGCATTATTCAAGATCACGAACAAACATAATAGCATAATAATGTAAACTGAATAACTTGTGAAACTCTAATCTTTGAAGCTTTCACACAACTCGTTCAGGAACTGGACTCCAGGATTGCAGCCTTCTACTAATTCTTGGCTAACTCTCTCAATCAAGTCTTGTGTGGGCAAGAAAATTTACAAAAAAAAAAAGATGATTTTTTCTTGAGAACCACCACCCCTATTTATACTTTTCAGCAAAAGGGAAAAGTTTGAAAGATGAAATGTTTCTTGTCATAATTAATAGCCATTAATAGTCATTAAATACCTTTAAGTGTATTTAGACACCGTTAAGTGTATCCAACAACCATAACCAATAGTCATCAACATCCATTAAATATCATTAAGTGTATTTTGACAGGTGTCCAACAACCATGATCAATAGTTATCAACAACCATTAAATATCATTAAGTGTATTTTGACACCGTTAAGGTATCCAACAGCCATGATCAATAGTTATCAACAACCACTAAATACCATCAAGTGTATTTTGACACCGTTAAGGTATCCAACAGCCATGATCAATAGTTATCAACAACCACTAAATACCATCAAGTGTATTTTGTACACCGTTAAGGTATCCAACAGCCATGATCAATAGTTATCAACAACCACTAAATATCATTAAGTGTATTTTGACATCATTAAGGTATCCAACAATCATGATCAATAGTTATCAACAATCACTAAATACCATCTAGTGTATTTAGACAGTCATTAAACACCAAGGGTATTTAAACACCATCAATATCCATTAATAACCAATAACAACAATATTTGTTTCTTTCATTTTTTAAGGAAACAAAGAAATCCAGTATTTTCCTCTTTCTTCTTTTATGGAAATAAAAAGTTTTTTCTCTTTTAAACTAATAAAAGTCAAAAACGATTTATTGCTAAACTGAAAAAAATACTAACAATCCTTTTCTTTTCCGAACTCGATCAATTAATCAGGCTTAGTAGGGACCGCAAATTTATTAGCTGATGCTTCCAATTATAATATTTAATTCGTAAAAGCATGAATTAACCATATCATAATAAATCACAGATTGTACCACTAAAAATCTGTAACTGCACTCCTCTATTTAATTTCAAATTGTTTCCATTACAACTTATTTAACTTCCCATGTTAGAATTACCGACACCAATCAATTAAATCAAACTTCTGAAAAATTTAATCCATTGATTAATTTAATCATTTATCTTTATGCTTAAATTAATTCACGTGATGGATATACATATATAATCCACATGCAGGGTTTTCACGTGACTACTTATAGGCAACCATAAAGGAGTGTCTTCTTTCTCATATCTGAGATATGGTTCTATCAACTAATTACTATTTCACGAATGTAATTTGTTATTATCCAATCCATTAGGAATATTTTGACTCATCATAGAGTCTCACCTTTTAATAGATTAAAATAATAAAGCAAACTACACAAACCATAATAACTCATCAAGATTAAGAGTATAAGCTCATGTAATGGACTAGAGATATTATTTATTGAAATTCAGAACCTAAATACATATCTCAATTTGGTCCGTTCAATACTTGCAAAATGTACTAACACAAGAAGTTGAAATTTTACATTCCCATAATTAACATTGAATTATATTTAATTTTGTGTTACAATCATCAAGATGTTTGTCCAATTTCATCTTTGATTGTGAACATTTAATTTATAACTTGTAAGAACCGATAATTTTAATCTTCCGCGTATGAGTTAAACAACTCCACACCCAAAAATCATCTACTATATAAGTAATGGACACACATATAAACACAATGATCTATTCAAACAAACACTTTATTGTAATAATTAACATAAGACGTAAAGTTTTTATAAAGGATTAAAATTAATACTATAACTCAACCATATTGTTAATAGTATATCCCAACAATTTGTACAACAAACAAAATCCAAAATCCAAAATCCTTCATCTCTCCAGAAAGAGTACTTGAGCAAATAAGTCCATAGTCATTTGGTGTTTTTCTATTTGGGCTTGATGTATCCCATCGCCAGCAAAAGGTACCAAGAAAAAATGAATAGCATAGTGTGGAGATTATTCTGAATGGTTGGATAAGGCAAGTTTTTGGGTCGTCGACGACACTCCATCATCACATAAGGGAATCAAGTGAGCTATGGTGTCAATTAATTTGTTAGATTAACATACAACAAATCTCAAGAAGTTATCCGATACAATACCAATTCTCAGGTAAATTGACTGATACACTTGTACCAGTTCTCCGATGGTGGAACCAACTTGGGATATTCTTCCCCAAACTAGTAAACACTCTTAGTGACAAGGAATGTGAATCAGAGATGTAATAATGCAACGATGAGATATTTTGAAACAATGAATTACAGATCAAATCTACAATTGGTTTTTGGAAGCCACTTGTTAGCGAAAGAAAAGCTATGAATTTATTTCACTATGAAACTAGGTAGGGGCGGATCTATATGCATGGGTGGAGGTGTCACGACATCCAGTGACTTCGGTTAAAACTTTGTATGTATATGTATGACAAATTGGTCATGTATTAAGCTTGTGAACCAAAATCCTTAATGGTGTGACTGGTGAAAGGCTTAGTTTACCATGCTGGTGTCGAGTTTTGTGCGCAAGGCTTCATTTTGGCGCCGGGCTCCCCCCCCCCCCCCCCCCCCCCCTCCCCGTTCTTCCTTATTTGCTATTATTATTTGTTAATCCAAATATCTAATTGACTATTTTTTGCTTTAATTAATTTCTAATTTTTTTTAAAAAAAATTCTCTTTCACTAAGTATTTATCTCTATATATTTGCATTGTGTGTGCATTCCATATTAATTATTAATGAGTACCAAATTTTTAATCTCGTATAAATATTAATAAAAATATATTTTAATTAAAAATAAATAAATAAAGTTGTTAAAATGATGGATATTATTGTGTTAGAGTTTTTTTAATTTAAAGGTTCTTTCGATCTTTTACGTCATGCTAAGAAGGTTGAAGTTATATCGCTCAACTATATATCTTAAGCGAAGACGACTAGGGATTGAAGCTATAATTTTTTTTATATTTTCTCTCAACTATATATCTGCAATAACACCGGACCTGAGCATTAAAAATATCCCGACCGGCCCACCCACTATTAAAAGTGGTCGGCTGTCAGTCCGGACCTGGGCCGTTACCGGGCCGGCCTTAATAGGTTGAAACCGGACAAGCCGGCCCAATTAACAAGTTTATTGGTTGGTAGGCTAGAAAATTAAGGAAAAATTACTTAGATGAGTACCTTTTTATAAATAATTATTGATTTTAGCGATACTTTTTATTTATTACCATTTATAGCAATTAATAACAATACTATATTAAATCTGCAATATGTATTAAAAGTGAATTATGTATGCAATATATATGTATTATAATTATTTTTTAAAATTATATTATGCTTGTTTGGTAAGAAATTAATCATTGCATTATAAGTGTATTAAAATGTGTGATAAATGTATTATCCATCAATAAAACTTGTATCATACGTGAATAATGAGTTGTTCTTTGTAATATGTATTAAAATTGTATTATAAATATATTAAAAGTGATCAAGTGAAAAAAAAAAAGGTTACTGCTACAAAATGATAAATATTTTTTTAATATAGTATATTTATGTAAGTTTTCCGAAAATTAATGTATCCATGGAAAACATTTATTTTTTTCATTTGAAAATATAAATAATTTGGTCTAAAAATACAAGAAATGATCTTATACTCTGTGCTTACTTTATTTCTCATTTCATAAAACAAACATTTTAAAAATAGCAAATCAAATCAAAATTATATAAAATCAATCTAAACCAAACCAAATCAAATCAAAATTATATATAATCAATCTAAACCAAACCAAATCAAATCAAAATTATATAAAATCAATCTAAACCAAACCAAATCAAACTCGTTCAATTTGATATCTAATGCACACTTTTCCAAAATTGAATATCAAAAAATAAAAACAAAATTTGATAAAATTGAACTGAATATGTGAACCTATCCCTACTAATCTCGTGTACCTTTACCGTTAGAAAGGTAGAATATCACAAAAAAAAGTTATCCCTTTTGACTTATTATTGTTATTTTGACTTTAAAATAATTATTTATAAGTATTTTTTAACTTTTACCCAAACACTTTAAAACTGCTTAAAAGCTATTTTGGCTTAAAAGCACCTAAAATAAGTCAATCAAAACGGGCACGGCACACCAAAAGAGAAAGACCATTTTCACAGTAAAGAAGAAACTTCACTCCTCCATCAAAGATGAAGAGAATTTCTCTCCGAAATGGCAATGGTATTCTTTTCACATCTTTCTTTTCTACTTCATATTCTTGTTTTTTCCCAATAACAGTTAGAGTTTATAGTAATAAATCCATTTCGGTACTGAGTAAATTTAGGGCAAATAGTAATTTTGAGTGTTTAGATGATGCTCTGATTCTCTTTAAGCAAATGGTTACAATGAAGCCTCTTCCTTCTCTTGTCAATTTTTCTAAATTATTTAAGACTATGATAAATTTGAGATCTGCCCAGACCATAGTTGCATCTGTAGCATATACTATCCCACTAAGCAATTCCTTTGATACAGTATTCATGATCCAAGCTAACACGAAGGCATTACATTTTTCTCACTGCTCTTCCAATTCTCCCTCATAATCACTCCTCCTACATGTTCCTAATACAAACCCCAACTTACTTTTAGCCCTAAGATTAATCATCATGGATCTGCTCCATAAAGAATAATTTTCAGTTCATGTAAGTTGCACGGTGGTGAATATAGAGTATAGAGTATGATCAGAATTCACAAACCACTGATGTTTTATATGCAGATGTTTCTAGATACCAAAGACTTGTGGGCAAGTTGTTATACCTTACCAATACAAGACCAGATATAGCTTTTGCTTTACAGTCCTTGAGCCAGTTCATGCAACGACCAAAGATGTCACACTGGATTTCTGCCTTAAGAGTAATCAAGTATATCAAACTTGAACCTAGAAGAGGATTATTAATGAGTTCTGATAGCAAGCCCCATTTGACAGGTTATTGTGACGCAGATTGGGCTGCATGTCCAAATACTAGAAGGTCTGTAATAGGTTTTGTATTGAAATATGGTTATTCACTCATATCTTGGAAGTCCAAGAAGCAAAATACAGTGTCAAGGAGCTCTGCAGAAGCTGAGTACAGGAGTATGGCTAGTCTGACAGCTGAAGTAGTGTGGATTGCAAGTCTATACAAGGAGCTAAGAGTAAAATTGATTGAACCAGCTTCTATATACTGTGATAGCAAGGTTGCTATACAGATTGCTGCAAATCCTGTGTTTCATGAGCGTACTAAACACATCGAGATTGATTGCCATTTCATTCGAGAGAAAATTAAAAAAGGTCTCATCCAAACTAACTATGTCAACACTAAGGATCAGCAAGCTAATTTGTTGACTAAGGCACATGGAAGATCACAGCATGAGTTTCTTCTAGACAAGCTTGGAGTATTGAATCTCTTCAGTACATCCAACTTGAGGGGCAGTATTGGAATTGATTAAGTGATTGATCAATTCTGTTAGTTAGGTAGTTAATTGATTAACTCTGATAGTTAGTGAAATGGTTAGTTTAGGTGTTTAATTAACTAGTCTGATTAATGGTCAGTTAGAAGGTAGTTAGTTTGTTAACATTGTAGCAGTAGCACATGTATTGACTGAATTGTATAAATACTCAGTCTGTAACTAACTCATACAGTTTTGATTGAATGCATTCTTCTTCTTCTTCTTCAATATGATTTTTCTCTCTGTAAATCTCAATAATAACTATGAAACATTATTCTGCCGTCGTTTCTCTTTTTCGAGAAATGCAGAAATTGGGTATCCCAATTAATGGAGTCATCTTGAATAGTGAGATTAACAGTTATTCGCTGATGCATCGTGCTGATTGTGGGTTTTCGGTGTTACCCATTTACTTGAAGAATGGTATTTCATTTGATGTCATTGAATTGTTCAAAAAATTGGTGCGAAAAAAGATTTGTGAACCTGATGAAGTCATGTATGCAACCGTCATGAATGGGCTTAGTAAAAAGGGTCATACGGAGAAGACTTTAAGTTTGCTCCGGTTAATGGAACAAGGGAACACTAAGCCTGACATATTCATCTACACCATTGTTGTTGATGCCCTTTGCAAAGATAGAAACTTAGATGGTGCTATAAGTCTTCTGAACGAAATGAAGCAGAAAGGCATTCCTCCAGACAAAGTCACATATAGTTCATTGATTGATGGTTTGTGTAAGTTTGGTCAATGGGAAAAGGTTAGGATTTTGTTCTCTGAAATGGTGAACCTTAATATTTATCCAAATGTGCGCACCTTCACTATACTAACAGATGGACTATGCAAAGAAGGGAAAGTAGAAGACGCTGAGGAAGTAATGAGACAAATGGTCAGAAAAGGTGTAGAACCTAATATGCTTATATACACCGCGATAATTAACGGCTATTGTTTGCGTGGTGAACTGGAAAGAGCGAGGAGAGTTTTTGATTTCATGATAGATGAGAAAATTGAACCTAACATTATTAGCTATAGCGTACTTATAAATGGATACTGTAAAGAAAAACAATTGGCCGAGGCCATGCAATTGTTTCATGAAATTTCTCAAAAGGGATCAAAACCTGATCTTTTTACCTACAATATCCTCTTGCAAGGTCTGTTTGAAGCTAGAAAAATTGGCTCTGCAAAAGAATTCTTTGCTGAGATGCTAACAACGGGGCTCGTACCAGATTTATACACTCTCTGCACTTTGCTCAATGGTTATTTTAAATATGGACTTGTTGAAGAAGCTATGTCGTTCTTTAATAAGTTGAAAAGAGAAATAGAATATACTAGTATTGAATTTTACATTGTTGTCATTAATGGATTGTACAAAAATGGTGAACTCGACAAAGCTCGTGTGATATTTGAGAAGCTTTCTTTAATTGGAATGCTTCCGAATGTGAGAACATACACTATAATGATAAATGGATTTATTCTCGAAGGGTTTTTGGATGAAGCTAAAGATATGCTTAGAAAAATGGAGGACAACGGTTGTATGCCAAACAATGTTACATACAATATTTTTGTGCGAGGATACCTACGGTGCTGCAAAATTAATGAAATGGCAACTTATATGAAGGAAATGGTTAGAAAGGGCTTCTCATGTGATGCAGATACAACTGAGTTACTGGTAAACGTTATAAGGGAGAATCCTTCTGTCCTTGACATGATACCTGAGTTTCGATCTGAACATAAGAAGTGAATATTTCTTTCTCTTGCTTTATTTGGCTTTACTTTCAAAATGAGAAGTGGCATCCATGCAATTACGAAAGATAGAATAATGGCAATTAGAACATCACTTGAGCTTTCCAGGCATGCTTACGGCTTACAGAGGAGGTACATCAATTTTGATATTGCAATTTTTTTTCCACTTTTGAGTGATAATGTGAGTTCCCTTATGTGTACGCGTTATAAGTCTCTAGGAGTATCATTTTCTGTGCTATATAGTTGTCTTCATGTACTATGATTTTCCGTCTTTTTGTGAGTCAATAACAACTGCACGTAACTTGAAATGTTTTGGGAACCATCTTCTTTTTTTTTGTTGGAAACTAGTACTGTTGAATTTCTCAGCATTAAGGGCATGCTGGCCACCTCCAAAAAGTATTACAAAAGAGGGAAACAATCTTATTCAAAACTTATAGGATATACTACAGATGAACGGTCAATACAATGTTCTAGTTATTTAGAATACATTTGATTTTTTTTGAGAATATTTTCGAATGTATATTTCTGAAGGTTTATATATGATCCAAGAGTACTGGATGCTTTATTGGGAATTTACATTTTCATAGAACAATAAAATTGTCAAATATAAGTTCATTGGGCCTTTGACTACTTGTCACCATAATTTAGGGCCCGTTTGGCCATAGATTTCCCAAGTAAAACTTGGGAAAAATTTTGGCAAATATTGTTTGTCCATACACTTTCTTATTATTTGGCAAATTTTTTTGGCAAATAACCCAAATTCCCAAATACTAGTTTTTTCTAGTATTTGGGCCAAATCTCATTATTTGGAAAGTTTTAAAAATTCAAATTTAACACCAAACTTTTATCTTTTACAAAAACACTTTATTTATTAACACCAACCAACTCAATCAAATCTCCATCTGCTAACTAACTCAATTAATAAATTTTTCTATTATAAAGAGCATACATGTACAAGAGCTTTTATACCCATGCATCTTTTTTAACGATGCGACTATTTACTGTAATGATGCTTTTTGATTTGTTGCGGAAGTCATGAATCTTGTTACGCGACATTTCTATTTTGCTATGTAATACAAATTTATGGTTAGTTTTGATAGTTTTAAAAACTTATGGGCATAAGTCATATTTCTTAAAAAATTGAAATATATTTCCCAAATACTATGGCCAAACACATGGTGAAATTTCACCCAAATCTTCACCCAAATAATATTTGCCAAATATATTTGGAAATCTATGGCCAAACGCTAGCTTAGAAAGGGTTGTGCTCCATATCACCATTTCCAACTAACTTAGAAGATGGATGGAGCAGTTTTCTTTTGAAGATGTAGAAATCTGCAATCTGTTATTGTTTGTTTCTAATTTTGGATTATCAATTGTAACTTTTTAGTGTAACCTCAGCATGTTATTTCCAGATTTGTGGAAAAACAGTTGTGTGTCTTATTTTATGCTTTAATGCTGTGTTATACTGCTGGTAACTTTATTATAGTTAGTGAAGTAATTAGTGGGATGGAGATGGACACAGTAGAAGGGAAGTTTGTGCTATGCTCTGTACTCACTATAAGGTATGCAAATGTATACTTTGTGATATTAGGATGTATTTTCATTTCTTCCACTATTATTACTATTTAAGTTGAAGAAAACATACTTTACACTTCTGTATCTAAAAAAAATTCTGTTTTTTCCTGTCTTTACCGTCAACGTTAAATAACTAACATTTTCAATCATCTCATTTACACTTGTGCTAAGTTTAAGTAACCTTAATTTGAAATTAAAGAGTATTACTGGGTTTGTCGGTCTTACTTAACTTGTGCTTATTACCAAATGGCATAAGAGCAACCATTACTTGATTGTGTAACCTCTTGATCAATCATGAAAATGAATGATCATCTAGTTTGAAGAATAAATAGTCTTATGTAGTTTGAATACTTCACTCTTTTACCATAATAATATTTGGCAACAATTGTCTTCTTACGACTTGCTGCATTTATACTTCAAGGGGGTTTATTGATTCACAAGTACAAAAGTGCTAACAAGGATAATAGCAGAAATCCTTTGAGGATGGAATCAGATATCCGCCAGACTTTAGTGATTCACAAGTACAAAAGTGCTAACGACGATATATCTGCTTCGCTCCCTCTTTTGCCTTTTATGAAACTACTTCAACTCAGCTGTATATCTCGTCTTTCCTGTTCTTCATTACATCCATAAGATTGAAACTGTATCTCATTCTTAGGATACCGTTCAACGCGTTCCTGAATTACTGACTGATTTCTGCTACTAAATACTTACTGGTTCGGTGGTCAGTTTAGCAGTTGAGAATTGACTGTTTTGCAGCTATTTTCCCCTTTTATACTCCTTCCTCAATCTCTCATCTCTGTATTCGAAAACTCTAGTTTCAACTTCTTTTTCTACGAGATATGTCACTATTTGGCATGATTTTTCAAGTTTTTGACAACCCTTCTTCTACCAATGGTATGAAATTCCTGTCGGTTACAAGGACTGATGTAGTTCGTATCATTTATATTTGGGAAAAGGGTAAAAAATGCCCTTAACCTATTAGAAATGGTTCAAAAATGCCCTCGTTCCACCTATTGATTTAAAAATACCCTCAACATTTTCTTTAGGCTCAAAAATACCCTTTAGTTAACAGAAATCTGATGTGAAATTTAACTATTATTTTTAAATTTTTTAAGGAGTTTAAAATAAGTGGCCCACATAATTTTCTTTTTATAAATCAAATAAACCTTACACTCAAAGCCATTTTTGATAAATCTATCCCAATTTTCGTATCGTTGATTTTATACCTCCCGTTATTTGCTTGTTCCTTTCACATGGAGATTTAAACTTTTGTGTGTTCATCGTCTCTACTGAATCACTTTTGAAAAGGATTAAAGATAGATTTTTTTATAAATTTAGGATTAGTTCAAACTTCATACATATGGGTTTATATCATCGTATGAAAATATTTTAATTGCTTGTTTTCATCTTGTTTAATCTGTATGTCTGATTTTTTAAATAACAAGATTTTACAAACACACTGGGTTTTGGATTGGAAGTTTTCTTTCTTAAAGAAAGAAAGAAGAGGATGAAAAGCAGAGAAAAAAAATTAAATTGACAGTGAAACGGGTTTGGGCTTGGTGGGGTTTATTTTATTTGATAAAAAAAATTAGATGGACCAATGAAATTTGGCCACTTGTTCAGTTAAATTCCACATCAGATTTCTGTTAATTAAAGGGCATTTTTTAGCCCAAAAAAACGTTAAGGGCATTTTTAAACCAATAGGTGGAAGGAGGGCATTTCTGAACCATTTCTAATAGGTTAGGGGCATTTTTGAGCCTTTTCCGTTTATATTTTTCTTTGAAAATTGGTTCATACTGAAATTTAACTTACTTCTATCCATTTCATCTAATGAGCACTATTCTTTAATTGAAATATTTTCCAAAACAATATCTTTATGGGAGTGGGGGATAGGGGTGGTAGGAGTTGGGTTAGGTAAAAAAAATCTTAAATTTGAAATATTTTTCAAAATAATTTTTTTTTTTTTTTTGGGGGGGTGGTTTGAGGGTAGGAGTAAAAATAGACTTGATAATTAAGAAATAAGAAAATTTAAAAATTTAAATTTTTTTTATGGGGG